TGAGCCTTGGCTTGAAAGGAATAGATTTTATATGAAGATGGAAGAATAGAGATAATTTCAAGACACAGGTAAAAATACTGTACTGTTCTGCAGCCTGAGAAAAATCGTATAAAACTGTTCAAGGACTGTGAAGAAAACTTAACTGTCTTTGGCCCAGAGAGGTAGTTCAGTGGTTAAGAGCACTTGATGCTCTTTCTTCCAGAGAACATGAGTTTGAGTCTCAGAACCCATGACTCATGGCTCCCACCTGCCTCTAACTTCAGCTCCAAGAGATCTAATGCCTAATTCTACCTCTGTGGGCGCCTTCACACACATGCACTTAGGCATATTCACACATACACGTAGAAAACTGGTCGTCTTTAAAACTGTAGTCAGTGAATATTTTCTCTAAACTGGAAAACATCAGCTAGACAGATTGCAGGACATTCCTTGCAGACTTTGGTTACTTACGGTCATATCCACCCCAAATGGAGTCGATTACTCTGATGATGATGATGTCTCAACTCTGGGCTCCATATTATTTCTCCCCAAACACCAAATCACTATAAATTAGTATTGTAATTTCTTTCTTTTTTTTTTTTTTTTTGGTTTTTCGAGACAGGGTTTCTCTGCATAGCTTTGTGCCTTTCCTGGAGCTCACTTGGTAGCCCAGGCTGGCCTCGAACTCACAGAGATCCACCTGGCTCTGCCTCCCGAGTGCTGAAGTATTGTAATTTCTTAAGCTCAGGTGACTCTCATTTTGTCCAGAAGGAGGGGTACAAGCAAATTAGTACATGAAGCAATATAAAGCAAGGCCAGAGAGGAGGGTGTCCACTGATACAGAGCTATCTAGAGCTCTTAACAAGTGATCCATCTCCTAATCTTAGAAGGTGTAAGAACAGCATAGAAGTTCAAAGACTTCAGAAGGCTATCCAGGAGAAAATATTGCTAGGTTATCACTAAAGTCTATTCTGAGAATCTGTGGAATCTTGTTCCCTAGGGGCCTCCCCTCTGAAGTTGGAAGTGAGGAAGAATGTGGTTATTGGTGGAACTAGCACTTTCCCTTTCCCCTTCTCTCTTGTGCTAGGCTTTCTTCTGAGACTCATAGTTGAGCCGAGGGTTCCCGTGGGCTGGGCAAATGCTGCATCAGTAAGCTGCACTGTTAGCCCCTTTCTCCTTTTTTACTCTTGAGGGAGGGTGTCCTGTTGTCCAGTTTTGGCTAGAATTTGTGGTTCTCCTGCCCCAGCCTCCTAGCTGGGAGTACAGGCATGTTATACCATGCCCAGCCTGATAGAACTTCTTAAAAGGCACATTTTGTTTATCCAATACTGTTTTTATTATTATCCCTTGTTACCAAGTTGACTGATGTCTTAGGGTTTTATTGCTGTGAAGAAACACCATGACCACAGCAACTCTTATAAAATAAAACATTTAACTGGGGGTGGCTCATGGTTTCAGAGGTTCAGTCTATTATCCTCATGGCGATGTGAGCATAGGAGACCTCAAAGCCAACCCCCACAGTACATTTCCTCCAACAAGGCCACACCACCTCATAGTGCCACTCCCTGGGGGGGGGGCATTTCTTTCAAACTACCACCACAGCTGGGCCAACCGAACATCTTCATACCAAGAAAGAATTCCCTTTCGTGGAAAATTAACTTAGAATCCATCATAGATGTAAGTAGAAAACATAAGCAAGAACATCCTTTAGAATCGGGGTAAGACAAAGTTCTGAGAGCAGCAAAAACACTTAGGAAAAAAACGATAAATTGGTTTTCATCAAGTTATAAACCTTTGTTCTGTGAATGATGGTGTTAAAACATAAACAAGATACAGAGATGTCGTTAGGACACAAGCAAGGTGCCCAGGGTCATTATGTAGTCAACAAATGCAAGTTAGCTTCACAGGAAGCTACCTTCAGCTGCAGGAGGTAAACTAGCAACAGTGCCCTGCCTTCACAAGCATGTAGGTCAGCTGCAGTCTGGTGGCACACTGGTACAGTTTGACAGTTTCTTTGTAAGTTAAGCATCTGTGTAGCATCTGACCCAATGTCTTTTCTGGAAAATAAATTTACACAGAAATCTGTGCAAATGGGTTTGTTGTAGTGTTTCTGATCCCCAAAATCCTGACAGAATCCAAATTAATAGACTTTTATATTCCTCAGGGGAATAGTATTTGGCAATAAATAGATGACATATAAGGTGAGTGAATGTCAAATGTATATTAACATGAAAAAACATTCTTGTGAGTACATGTATTAGTGTATGTATGGATAGGGTCAGCAAACACTTGAGTGGTTACCAGGGATTAGGAGGAAAGGTAGGTCCAACTGCAGAGAAGTGCTGGAGATCTTAACCTGGTTTACGGAGGTGGTAAGAAGATGCTGTGCATTTGTTAAAACTTAGAGAATTTAGCTGGGCGTGGTGGTGCACACCTTTTATCCCAGCTCTCAGGAACCAGAGGCAGGTAGATGTCTGAGTTCAAGGCCAGCCTGGTCTACAGAGTAAGTTCCAGGACAGCCAGGACTACACAGAGAAACAGTGTCTCGAAAAATCAAACCAAACCAAACCAAAAAAAAAAAAAACAAAAAACAAAAAACCGTAACACCATGGCTCAGCAGTAATTCAGCATTTGCTGATAGGCAGAGGCAAACAGATCTGTGAGTTTAAGACCAGCCCAGCTACATGCTGAGACTGTCTCAAAAACAACAAAACAAGTTACAGAACTTAAGTTAAAAAAGAAAGCAATTATCTATTATGCATCATTCTTTGAAAATAATAAACCTAGTTTCTTCCTTATGGTGCACTTGTCAGAGGGTGGTCACAGTTGACTGGTTTTGTATGTGTGTGTTTCACTGTGTCTAAAAATAAGTCAGTGTAAACAAGAAGTTTAGAGGGTGGAAGAGACTTAGTGCTCCACACTTAGTGTTCCAATTAGGAAAATTAGAGCCCGAATAAAAATAGGATTTATTTATTGTGCCAGTCTTCTTGCAGATTGCCATGCTGTCTACTCTCTAATAATTTATTGATCATTCACTGATTGTCTCTTCCTAATAATGACTGATGGTTTCTGAGCACATGCTAGCTAAGAGTTTTTCCATAATCCATCTGCTTCACAATGTTGTCCCAAGTCTGCCCTCCTCCCTGGCCTTTGCTTTATGCTCACAATTCTTTCTTCCCTCTTGTCTCATGACAAGGGGAAAATTCTGGTCAGTGAAAAGCCCGTCTTGAGTATTCTCAATTGTCACATTTAGGATTTACTCATTCATAAAGTATTCCTTGACTAGCAGTAGTTCTAATGGTCTTAGGAATTTGTAAACAACCCAGCAGCATTATCTCAGGTGTGATAAAACATTCCTAGTCTGTGGCTTGAATTTTATACTTCAGCACTTTGCTGTGGGGTGACAGAAGATGATGTCAGAAGCAATGTAAATTGATCTCCTCTCAGTGTTTATCTCTGCTGTATGTGCAATTACTTTTGCACCAGAGAACCTTTGCAAGGCATTCTGTCAATACAGCTACCTGACAGTCATTTGTATTTGTAAACTGTGCATTTGGCACCTGCTGGTCTCTATTGCGTTGGAGCTAGTGGGGAGCCAGCATGGTGTACAATGAAGTTATTGGTTGGTACAGCTCAGTGGGAGTTATTGAAAGTGGAAAAAAACAAAACAAAACAACCAAAACAGCACTTCCAGGACCTCAGGATAGAATTTAAAAAGGAAAAATAAAAACTGGTAATGTTAACAGACTAGCTATTCTTTGCTATGAAAACAAAACAAAAATATTAAAGTCAGTCTGTTATACTCAAGGAACTAAAGTATGTATGGAAGTACATTTTAATTTTTGTAGTAGATATAAAAAACACTAGGTTTCTATTTGAAGTATATAATGTATGTTCCAAAGCACCAAAATCTCCATAAAAGGCAGGCAGTTCATGTGTACAGGAGTATAAATTAAGCAATGAAAAGAAAACATTCAATTTGTCAAGAAATATAAATTAAAATCCTACTATCTGTCACTTATCAAATTTGCAAATCAACTTCAGTTTTTTTTTAAAAAAAATCACATTGGCAAAGACTTTAGAATGCAAATCAATGAATAGCAAAAAGTGATTGGCCTTATAGGTATCATTTGTTCCTACTTTATTGGATACAAGTCAAGGAGATAATTCCAAAGAAGGTCTGCCTTATAAGTCTGCTTTGCTCCACATAGTCTGGACCACCTCAGAAGAGGACTGTACTTCAGGGGATAGGATCTATAGGCTCATACTGGGTTCAAATGCTTTGAGACACTGAGTGGTGCTTACTAGTTGCTCCAGTTATAAAACAGTACTTTTATGTGATTACCCTCTTATTATGTTTTTTCCCCTTTGAATCCCAACATTTTTAGTGTAGATTTGGAGGATATAGGATTTTTTTGTTTTATGTATATGTGTGTGTGGTGCTAAAAAATATGAATTCTCTCTCTCTCTCTCTCTCTCTCTCTCTCTCTCTATATATATATATATATATATATATGAATTCTCTCTCTCTCTCTCACACACACACATCTAAAAGATAGTAAAACACATCTGGAATACACCATCTTGATAGCATCGCCTTTGTTAATGGTAAATGTAGTAAAATTTCTGTGGAACAAGTACAATGATTAGAACATAGGGACTGAGGAAGTAGTTCAGCAATTGAGAGCCCTGACTGCTCTTGCAGAGGACCCACCTGATTTCCAGCACCTACCTGATGGCTCCCAACCATCTGTAATTTCAGTTCCAAGGGATCTGATACCTCTTCCAGCCTCTGCAGACTAGGCACTAGTGCTGGTATACACATATAGGCATTCACGCATATACATAAAATAAAAACTAAAAAACTAGAACCCTTAACTAGTATTTAGTTGCCTGTAGTAGTTGTGATAGAATTGGTAGGATATAGTAAAATACTTCTTTACAGCATGATGGAGTTAATAAACTAGTGGTTAGCCAGTTTTGGCTCTTGAAGCTAAATAATTATTTGCCTTTGTTTTTAGAGTTCCTGGAAAGCTCAAGCAGTTTGTATTTGACCTGCATTCTGGAAAACTGCACAGAGAATTCCATCATGGACCTGACCCAACTGATACAGCCCCAGGAGAGGTAGGACTTAGGTCATTGCCATTGGGGAAATCTTCTGTTGAGATGGCCTCAGAGGGGACCCGAGCTAGAGTTTTAGCTCCTGATACCTCTGTAGAAATCCTGAACTGACAATAACATATTCAAGTTATGCTCCTTTTACTTAAAGTTACTTTTAACTTAACTTAAAGTTACTTTTGAAAATGTTAGGCCTCCAGAAAAATTGTAGAATGTTGTATCTGATTTCTCAATCATCTGAACTTGGGTAGTCTGAATATGATTTCTGTGGAACATGGCTATACAGAGTTAAGTACTATTAGCTTCAGAGAGAAGAAAGAAGGAGGACTTGGGAGAGTAGATGAGCAAACAAGTCAGTGGATTCCAGTGGTTGTTCCAGCTTGCTTCTGTGGCTGGACATACACCCTCACTAAAAAGAGAGTCATGATTTCTTATTTCCCTCATCCATTCTAAGAACCTTCACAGATGCATTATTGATAATGCTCAAAACTTAGGACGTAATGCAGCTTTCTCATTTGATGTTTGAATGCTTAACATCTATCACCAATATTTTATATTAGCTTTTATTCACATACAAATTCTCAATGGAAGTGTTACTATATAGATTGATGAATAATAGGTAGATAGATTCTCAGAATGGATGGATGCATGGATTTTAAAGCCTGAGAATTTTATTATTTCTACTTTGTAACCTTTGTTACAAGTAATTTGTATGTCCCTCCTTTTTGAAAGAATCCTACATTTGCATGTTGATGTGTTATTATTTATATCAAATCTATTATACTATAAACCATAAAACTAAGAGGGAGATGATATAGATTAAACCACTTGTTTTATAGGCCAAGACTTAAGTCTACTACTTTGTCCAAAGAACTTGTATTTATCAAAGAAAAATAAAAACTAAATTTTTCTTTACCTTATTTGGGAGTCAGATTAGATTCAAAGTCAAGAGTTCTCATGGGAAGCTGATAAATATGCTTTATTTGAGAAATGAGGTCCGATGTTTCTTTGGTCGTTAAGCTGCTATTACAGGGGGAGTTCTGCTAGTGACAGTAATCCAAAGGTCATTGTTTCCTTCAGCCCACAAAGCCTGCTCATTCCTCTAGACCAGTGTTCTCAACCTTCCTAATGCTGCAACCCTTAGGATAGTTCCCTTGTGTTGTGTTGTAGTGACCCTTGACCATAAAATTATTTCTGCTGTTACTTCACAGCTGTGATTTTACTACTGTTATGAATCTTAATGTAAATATCTTATATGCAGAGTGGTCTTAGGTAATCACTGTGAAAGGATCATCCAACATCACCACCCCCAGGTCGCAACCCACAGTTTGAGAACCCCTGCTCTATATGCTAAAGAAAAACATCTAGTTTACCATATTGCATTGTTTTGTTTTGTTTCACTTTCTCCCTTAGACAGTGTTTTATTTATCCATGTGTTTTAGTCACATTTTTGTACTAAAACCAACTGGGTACGAGATACTGTGTTTGCAGTAATGTAATTTCAGCTTGAACATGTATTTCAGCAGAAAATGCTTACTGAGGAAGTGGAGCCTGGCAAAGTCAAATAGGTAGAGGCATTATCTACCTCCGTTCTTATGGGCGCACACTAATCTAAGTTAGACCGTCCGGTGTGTGCCTTGTGCTGTCTGATGTAGGGACTGGGACTGTCCCGTGGTGAAGCTGCTCTTGAGGTGCTCGCAGTGTGAAAGTAAAATGCAGACGGTGCTGCTTTTCTTCAGAGCTCGTGAGGCACTTGATAGTATCACTGTGTTTTCTCTACTTCTGGCATATGAGTATTACAGAGGTTTATTACAGGATTGAGTGTTTTTCCTCATCTCAACCAGGTTTTACTGATTTCTGGAATTGAGATTGTTGATCAATAGCAGGTTTATTAACAGAGTAGGGATCGTTTGTATCAAAGCAATCCCTCTTAGCAGTCATTTGTGAAAGTGTAGGGTTAGGGCCAAACTAGGTTGTGCCGCCTCTATGGGGTTCTCTAGGAAGCATTGCGTATTTGGTGTTTTGTCAGTGACAGTGACAGTGACAGGCCCAGTCAGTGGCCTTATGGCAGCCATGTCCTGAACAGAGTAGGGGCATTTACCTCAGGAAACAAGATCGCAAACTTACCTCTTGACTTTGGCATACACTTTTTCTCTTATTTATTAATGAGCAAGTAATTATAAGGCCACTGCCAGTCATGTAATAGTAAAGTATGATAACTCCATAACACATTTTGGTACGAAGATTCTTTTCTTTCTTTTGTAGCAAGACCAGGATGTAGCGAGCAGTCCTCCAGAGAGCTCCTTCCAGAAGCTGGCGCCCAGCGAGTATAGGTATACTTTATTGAGGGATCGAGATGAGCTGTAAAAACTCAAGAACATTGCAAGTCCTTCAACAGCAGCATTGGCTTATGTGGTGGAAATAGTAAACCTATATTTTCATAATTCTATGTGTATTTTTATTTTGAATAAACTGAAAGAAGTTTTGAGTTTTTAATTTTTTCCTCCCCCTGACTCAAATGCATTGTCATTTAATACAGCCTCTTTTTTAAAAATCTGCTAGGGTTTAAAAAAATAATACAATAAAAACCAGAGGCCTATCTCCACTTTAAACCTGTCCTGTACAGTTTTTATAATGCAAGCGGAAGGTGGTATTGCCAGGGCGTCCCGTTAACTCGCACTCCCACTGCGAAGGCAGAGAATCCAGCCTGCTCCTGTGTCGTGTGTGCTCCTGCTTTCTCCTTTTCACGGATTCTTATTGTTACAGGTGGGAAGCTAAGGGGATATAGACTCTAAAGACCTAAGATTTTCACACTGGGTACTGTGTTGTACTGATTGGTCAGCCATTGCTTATGAAAATTCCATAGTGGTTCTTCTTGGATTCCTAATGTGTAACTTAAACATGCTATGAAGAGGAGGAGAGCCATAAGCCAGAGCATTTGGCAGAAATTGTCCTTATGAATTAAGAAAGAAAAAGTGGAAGTATTATTAAATTTCTGTGTTTGTCTGAGAAACTGGCATATGGATGGCATTTAAAATTGTGAACGACTTAACCCTGCAATCAGGAAAGTAGAGACACCAGTGGAGCGGGTCACTAGTGTTGAACTAGAAACGTTTGAGGCTCTTTCTGTCTAGAAAGTTCCATTTTCAAAGGGAAACTGTATTTCAATTATTGTAAGCCTCCTTCTGTCTTTTGTAGTTTTGCTATAGTTATGTAGAGCAAAGACAAAGATGTTAAGGAACATAACGTTTTTAATTCTTCTCCCATTTTCAACTATTGTGAATTGTTAGAGGGCCTTCCCCCTCTGGCTTCTCTGATTTTCCACACCTGCAGTGTGTAGTCAGAAGGTCCCTGCCAGGCCTCAGTACTGCCAGGGATAAAAGCAGAGGGAGAAGACCCTCCACATTATATCAGGAATCCCATCGCCAGAGGTCATTCAGGCTCAAAACTGGCTTTCCTCGGGGCCTGGGTGTGGTGCTATAGGCCAAGGGTCATTTATCCTTGGGATATAAGTCAGTCCCAGTTCGGGGAAATATTATTTTTAAGCTTAAAAGGTTGACATGTGCCATTATAAGTAGTATGTGATATATGTAACATCTTCCAATCCTTTTAAAATAAAATGAATATTTATAATGGATATTTAATAACTGTTATTTTTAAAAATCAGCTTCCAGTTCTTAATTATGCATGACTTTGTCCATAGTTTTTGTAGTTTTATTCAGAATAATAAATATTAATGAGGTTATAAGGGCATGTTTAGAATATGTCATCAGATTGTGACTAGAAAACTAGGACAGAGCTTTCTAGAAGCTGGCCTTTATTCTGTCACTTTATTGCTTTTAGTCAGTGTGATATGATCACAGTTGTTGTTTTCAGTGATGAGACTGACCACATCTGAAGGGTTCAGAATGAAAACTCACAGGTACACAGCAAGCTCACAGGCAAGGTCCAAAGAGTACCAAAAAATCAGCTGTAATAAATTGTGATCCTGTAATTAGGTTTGAAAAATAATAAAAGATACCACTCAAATACTGGGCTGCAGACAGCTAGCTGAGAATAGTCATCCGAAAGAAGGCCCTAAGGAGCAAGCACATCTTCAGTGTGCCCTACAGTGGCAGAGGTGCCGTCGTCTAAAGTGAAGACGGTGCGTTATGTAGCATTCAGACATAGCCGGACATGGGCTGTAGCCCTGCCACGGCCATTGTCTTCTCTGGATGGTGAAGGCATTAAGGACAGTGGTTCTGAACGTTGTGTCTGTGGCTACCAGTTTGGACACTTAAGTAGTCATCTTCAAGTGTTTATTGAAAAAATAAGAAAGTGTCCTTGAGTAATTTTTATACCATGGAAAGTGCTCAGCACTCAACAGGACTTGATGCCAGTTTATTAAATGTTCTTCACAAGTTCAAGTGCACCCCATGAAGAGAATGTAGGGCAATAAAATGTTTTAAAACATAACTATCAAGACTGCTTTTAGACAGGCATGGTAGCACATACCTTTAATCCCAGCACTCAGGAGACAAGTAGGAAGATCTCTGTGAATTAAAGGCCAGCCTGGTTAGAAAGAGTTCCAGGACAGCCAGGGATACACATAGAAACCTTATTTCAAAAAAAACAAAAAGACTTTTTCTTAGAGAAAACATGGGTAAGAGCAGTCTAGGTAATTGAAAGGTTGGCATTGTCTGTCTAGATACAAAGGGTTGAATTAGGATTGGGGGAAGTCGTGGTGGAACAGATATCAGCTGACAGTTACTCAAAGTAAGGTTTTTTGGTGCTGTAACATTTTACTTAAGAGTTGCTTCTAGTTTGTCAGGTCAATGACTAGATGAACGATCATTGTAGCAAGTGATTCCAGATTAAACAGGAGAAAATAGAGGTAATGTGCCTGGCACAGAAGCACTGAGTTCCAAAAATTCCATTGAAATTATGCTGGAGTTTTAAAAGATGAATACCTGAAAAGAGGATTTGTCATGGATATAATAATGTGAAACAGCATGATGTACTAGGAAAGAGTACTTTTAGGAAGGCTGACTCACTGGAGGCTGGGTAAAGTGAGCACTCGGCCCAGGATCCCAAGTGAGGGGATTATCCTCTACTTTGGGTCCTGGGGATTCATAGTTGAGAATGGATACTACAGAGGCAGGTCTCCAACATTACCATTCCACCTGAACCATAAGTCAGTGCTACAGACATTGCCTCACTGTTCTCAGTCTGCACTGAGCCTTAGGCTTCTCAGCTAGAACTAGAAAGGATGCCAGATTGCACTGAAGAATGGGTGAATAAGAACCAGAAGCCAGACTTCCTGCTCCTCTGCCTAGATGATGAAACAGGACATTCACTGTCCTCTGACCTCCGTGTGCATGTGCATGCATGCACACACACACACACACAAGCATGGCAGGTTTAAATGAATGTATAAGGTAGAGAATGATCATCTGACGTGTCTTGTGGAGACTTACTGATGAGGTCAGTTTGTCAGGTGTTGTGTACCAAAAGAAGGAGCTGGCATGATAAAGGCTACCAAGAGACATGCCATACAAAACAGTGTTTGAAATGGGAATGCTCAGAATGAACTCAAGAGAAAGTGCTAATGTTGCCAAAAAAACTTTCAAAAAATGCATCATGGATTGATAATCAGGAAACCAGAACAACTCAACTTTTTTGACAGATAGTCTGCTTGGTTAAAAGTAAAATGACATAAAATTTAAATGCACACACACAAAAAAACTTGCCACTTTAAATTATGTTAAGGCTTTTGGCCTATAATTTGTATCACACAGCAGTGCTCTCTATTGACAACTATTTGGACAGTCTGAGAAACCAGGATACACGGTTAGTTGGAAACAGTATTCAGTTTTCAAAATGATTGTAGTTCGTGGCATTTAGCTGTTTTGCTGGATAAAGTCATATGAACAAAATGAAATGCCAGTTGTCTGTGTTGGGGAAGATTTAGGTAGTTCTCAGAGCCTGAGGAGAAGCTACTCCAGGATCATGCTGGCCATAATGATTTAAGTAGTCAGAAAACAGTGTGATAGGACCTCTGCTTAGCAACTTTTTTAGCTGTATGTGAAATTTTGTATGTATTTCCAAATAATAAAACTATATTTGTAAAATACTTATATTTGAGACTTTTTCCTATTTCATAAATACTGCATTATGAATGTTTTACTGGGAATCTAGATGACCAGAGCCATTGGCTTTTCCAGACCATGTCGTTGTGCTTGACTTGATTCAGTGGGGACCTGGGAGTTCATGTGCATGTAACTCAAACCCAGCCTTCAGCTGATGTGTCCAGGAATTCTCAAGAACACTGGAAAAGGCACAACTGTCCTTAGACAATGGAGGACCCTGGAATAGTGCTGCTTCAAATTCCTTCTCTAAAGTCTCACCCTCCACCCACATACACACATCCCTTGTCTAGCAAATTCTACCTAGTCAGTGTGTACAGGGCAAGTGTCATCTTGTCCTGGTTAGTCTGTTTACACAAGTTAGAGTCATCTGGGAAGAGGAACTTCAATTGAGAAAATGCCTCTGTCAGATTGGCCTGTAGGAGCCTTCTTGATTAGTGATTGATTTGGAAGGGCCCAGCCCACTGTGGGTGGTGCCACCCTTGGGCAGGTGGTCCTGGGTTGTAGAAGAAAGCAAGCCAGTAAGCACCACTTCTTCATTGCTCTGACTCAGTTCTTGCCTCTGGGATTCTGCCTCAGGTTCCCTTCATAATGGACTATAAACTACAAGCTAAACTACATAAACTCTTTCCTCCCCAGGTTGGTTTTGGTTGTGGTATTTTATCCCAGCAGTAGAAAGCAAGCTCAGATGCATCTCCTGTATCCTCGCAGTCTGTTGTGTGCTCTAGGTTACTCACAGTTGGGGGTACGTGCGTTCCCCTTATTTCCATGTGCGTACAAGGTAGAAGGGAAGTAGGAGAGCCATCTTTCTATTCCAGTCACGTGATACACCGGGAAGAACTCAGCAGGTCTCTGATGGGAAACAAAAGCCCAAGTACAGAACAAGCATGCAAACAGAGGCGTCAACGACAAGAAATTGTCCCTATAGCTGCAGTGCATGCCGATGGCAAGCCTCTGTGTCTCGGTTACCTGATTTGGTCGGTTACAAATATCCTACAAATGAGTCAGTCATCTTCAGACCTACCTGCTAAGCCAGCTCTGCGCCCCAAAGGCTGCCAAAAAATAAAGGGTCACAGTGCCCACCAAGCTAGAGGTGTGGAATTATCAGAGTGGTTGCTGTCTTGGCAACAGTCTCGGGTACTGGGAATTTTCTAACTCCACATTTCCTGTAAGTTAGATCTGACCCCAATTTAGTCAACCATCTTTTAGGCAATGAATTGTTTGACAAAACTGCTTTATCATTCAGTAAGCACGAACTCTTTCCAGACTAAAGAGTCAGCATTTAATAACCTGCCCTCTCCCATTACGAAGCTAAAAGTTGAATGAAGCGACAAAATAGTAAAAAGGTGGCTATAATTGCACATACCTGCT